TTGAAAAACCCCACAAAATGCTTCGTTTTCTCCGTTTTCGTTGGTTATATCTCCCATTAATCCCCATATCAACAGGATCAAGCCATTTTCATTATGGAATCACGTTTTAAAATAGAAAAACCCACCTGAGATATGCTGCTAGCAGCATTGCCAATCTTAGATACCCTGCAAAAAATTAAATTCTTTGCTGGTTACTAGATATTCCCATTAATACCAAAAGACTAAAGGATTAAAGTATCCATGTAAGATTGACCTAGGCAGAAGGTTCGGATGATTTCACCCCACTCACCACAACCTCCTACCGCCAGAGCCGAGAACGCCAAGGCTCTGAGTTGTGCTTCAGAAACGCTTCGACCACTTCAGAGGCATCAGGCGCACACACAACTTGAACTTCCTGTGCCACAGTCAAACCAGTAGAATCAACAAATATTCTTGAAAAATCAATTATTATCCATTATTAAATTTAGGTTAAGAGGCAACATGACAACTTAACTAACAAGAAATAGAAATGCCTCAGAATTTCTAGTGGAAAGGATTGCCAAAAGGATTTTTGCCAACTAATATGGCAGTTTAACCAAGAGATGTGGGGATGTAGTTGTCGACTAGAGTGTAGACTAACTGATGCACTTGGAAAAACTGTGAAAAGAATTGGGTATGCTGGCGACAAACACATCTGCATCTTTTCGCGGAGAGGGGGAGAGAGATAGGGAGAGGCGCCTTTGTAAAGAGACAGGAAGATGGACAAACAGGCAAATCAGAAGACATGTATAGACATCCCAAAAAAGATGGAAAAGCATGTCTAGGTGGTTATGCACCCAAAAAAAAATGTACATACTGTAGATGGAAGAAATCCTGCACCAGTTAATAGGTGGTTTATCCCATTATAATCCCATAATTTACAGTGTCTCATAGAGGTACCTAATAGTTCCCAACTGGTGAAGGATTTCTTCCATCCACCGTATTTCTAGGTTTCCCATGTTTCGATCCTTTTGGGGTCGACCGCTTCTGATGGAGCCTGATGGATCAATCCTGAAACCGGGCACGGTTGGATAGGACCTGACCACGTTAAAAGTGATGATATCAGCTGGACATTTTGGTTGGGGGCACGGCCCCAGGCCGAATCCAAACAAGTGGTCCTTGGATCCACTGCCATCAGCGAATATGGCAGGCGCTTTGGGAAGCCGAAGAGTTGTGAAGAGTTGGGAAGCTGGAAAATATGTGGGCTAGATTACCTATACCATACCCTCTAGTAAACGTTAACAAAAAACTATGGAAAATCACAATTCTCAATGGGTAAATCCACTATTTCGACTGGGCCATGTTCAATAGCAAAACGTCAAATTACCAGAGGGTACCGGCCCCGGATCCCCTTTCAGTTCTACCAGAAACCATCTTTCCCTGTCTGCAAACCATGGCTCACTTCATGGTTTTTCCCAGGAAAATTTTTGACTGCAACTCCATGGAATGAAAACTACCCTCCGGTAATCAATTGTGGCTTGCTGAAAAATCCACCATTTGGATTTAGTTCCATGATTTTCCCAGCTGGCACTATAAACCCCCATAAAAAATCGGGGATTTCCCCGCTTACCACGTCGCAAACTGAGTCCTGTAGCAGTCGTTGAGCAGTTTTCACATCAGCCAACTGCCGGGTGTGTCGCAACGTCAGCGTAAAAAAGCAGAGCTGCGCCGCGCTGGCGCCGATGACGCGCAAGATCTCGCTGGCGGAGGGGAGATGCGACAAGACCTGCAGCCGCCCCGGTGGAAAGTATTTGAAAACGCCAAGTTGAAAAATACTTAAATTCACCAACCTGGCTGACTTATAGTAACTATCAGCCAATATATTAGTATATGTTTGGTTCATAAATTTCTGGCTGAATTATAACTGGTTGGTGGTTTCAACCCATCTGAAACATATGAGTTCGTCAGTTGGGGTTATTATTCCCAACATATGGAAAGTCATAAAATTCATGTTCCAAACCACCAAACAGAGAATAATTGGCAAAGTGATCAATGGCTATCAACATGGACACCTTACAATTAGATAAACACCACAGGTTGGCGCCAATTAGATAATTCAATCCACCAGCCAGCAACTCCAAACATCATGGAATTTCTCCAGGTATATGGGCTATATATGGCTTACGTATGATAAGAATTCACCAACCAGCGCAACCTGAAAATACCTAAAATAAGACCAGTTTGGAGATTCTCCGAGTCCTGACTATTCCAGTGAAAACCGCGGAAAAGGCCATGACTTTTTTATAATTCATCCGGATAAATGGGGGTTGATAAATGATATATAATGGGATATGTTTTTTCAACAAACTCTGTCAAAATTGGGGTTAAGAATCCAAAATCAAAGTCTTATCATCCAAAATTGGGCTTGAAACCCACTTTAGTATTGAATTATTGGATATGTTCATTTTTTGGTGCCCAAGAATTGAGGATAGGTAGACTTAATATTGGGGGAATTAGGTTTTTGGGTGTTTGAATGTTCAATGATGGGGCAAAGACTCAGCCAGAACATGATTTCCATTCATAACCACTAGTAAAACGAAACTGATTACGGCTCAAAATGCGAGGTGGAAAATCAGCATCACACTGTTAGAGGCATGCAAGAGCCTCATTCTACTCCAGTTTGGCAGTTTGCTATATAATCAGTCAGCTTGCCGCGACGTTTTCGGTCCCACCAGTCACCAGCCCTTACTGTAAGTGGGTTCCGCACCCATCTTTGGCGGTGAGGTTTTGATAACCCCCAGTCAATTCTATAATTACTGGTTGGTGGTTTCAACCCATCTGAAACATATGAGTTCGTCAGTTGGGGTTATTATTCCCAACATATGGAAAGTCATAAAATTCATGTTCCAAACCACCAAACAGAGAATAATTGGCAAAGTGATCAATGGCTATCAACATGGACACCTTACAATTAGATAAACACCACAGGTTGGCGCCAATTAGATAATTCAATCCACCAGCCAGCAACTCCAAACATCATGGAATTTCTCCAGGTATATGGGCTATATATGGCTTACGTATGATAAGAATTCACCAACCTGCGCAACCTGAAAATAACTAAAATAAGGCCAGTTTGGAGATTCTCCGAGTCCTGACTATTCCAGTGAAAACCGCGGAAAAGGCCATGACTTTTTTATAATTCATCCGGATAAATGGGGGTTGATAAATGATATAAATGGGATATGTTTTTTCAACAAACTCTGTCAAAATTGGGGTTAAGAATCCAAAATCAAAGTCTTATCATCCAAAATTGGGTTTGAAACCCACTTTAGTATTGAATTACCCTCTGGTAAACTAACATAACTATGGAAAATCACAATTTTTAATGGGAAAATCCACTATAAATGGCCATTTTCAATAGCTATGTTAAATTACCAGAGGGTATTGGATATGTTCATTTTTTGGTGCCCAAGAATTGGGGATAGGTAGACTTAATATTGGGGGGAATTAGGTTTTTGGGTGTTTGAATGTTCAATGATGGGGCAAAGACTCAGCCAAAACATGATTTCCATTCATAACCACTAGTAAAACGAAACTGATTACGGCTCAAAATGCGAGGTGGAAAATCAGCATCACACTGTTAGAGGCATGCAAGAGCCTCATTCTACTCCAGTTTGCCAGTTTGCTATATAATCAGTCAGCTTGCCGCGACGTTTTCGGTCGCACCAGCCCTTACTGTAAGTGGGTTCCGCACCCATCTTTGGCGGTGAGGTGTTGATAAACCCCAGTCAATTATATAATTACTGGTTGGTGGTTTCAACCCCTCTGAAAAATATTAGTCAGTTGGGGTTACTATTCCCAGCATATGGAAAGTCATAAAATTCATGTTCCAAACCACCAAACAGAGAATAATTGGCAAAGTGATCAATGGCTATCAACATGGACACCTTACAATTAGATAAACACCACAGGTTGGCGCCAAACATGTCCAGAAGGTAGGCCCAAGACGATGCCCGACTGATTTCCAATATCAGGATGTAACCAGCTTGAAAGCCTCTTGTGGAATCAGAGGCTGCATGTCAACCTGAGATTAAAAGACCCTCATATATTAATTTTCGGTTTAATAACTATATATTTGTATATCTATCTATCTATCTATCTATCTACCTACCTACCTATCTATCTATCTACCTATTTACGGGTGGAATTAAACTGGATTTCAGAAATCCCTTCCCCCCAAACACGGAGAAAAGAACATATACCACCTTTTATCCTCTGGTAAACATACAAAAAACTATGGAAAATCACCATGCTATTCATGGGAAAATCAACTATTTCTATGGTCATTTTCAATAGCTATGTTAGTTTACCAGAGGATACCAGAGGGTAGTATTGGAGCTCTTCGTATTCACTTTGGGTGCCCACAAATTGATGGTATGAGACACCGGAGGGGGGATGGGATTGATTCATTTAGCTCACTGAAAAATTCGACAAACCTCTCCAATCAACAAATCAATAAGCTGGATATATCATAGGCCTAGGTGTATATCAACAAGCTGGATATATCAATGAGCTGGATATATCAATTTTTGCTAGCTATCATGGAAATTCATAAGCTAGCTATCATGAGGAATTCATAAACATGCACAAGCCATACTCCCGATCCAGCCATGGAGGTTTAGTCCGCTGGGAAAATCATCGAACAAAACCGCTGGTTTTTGGTGGATTTCCAGCCATGGAACTGAGGACAGGGTAACCGGGTAACCATCATAAAAATCGTCATCCAGCAAGATCTCCATGAATCTTCAATCATATATATATATATATAGATATAGATATATCCGTCAATCACCAGTTAGAAATCCCTTATGAAATCCCTTGTGAAATCCCATTAAACCCCATAAACCCCATTGAACCCCATGAAATCCCATGAAATCCCATGAAATACCATGAAATCCCATGAAATCCGTATGAAATCCCAAGGTTATCCCGGGTACCTCATGGCACCACCGAACGTTCCCTTCGCGTTCGCACCATCCCACCTCTTCCGCCAGCTGCCGAGCGATCTTCGAACAGCTCTCGATCAAGTCTTCCACCTCCTGCCAGTGGAACTGGACCATCCACAGATGAGTTTTATCGGTATATAATGGTATTTATATATATATATATATGGGTAACTTATAATATTTCATTAACCTGAATTAAGGGTATCTTGGGGATGATTCCCCTTACTAACCATGATTCCAGTGAGGTCGCAGTGAGGTCGTTATAATTTACCCAGATAATGGTGTATATATATATATGTGTGTGTGTGTGTAAAGATATAAACTCATGTAAAGAGTGTATAGTTTTATATCTACATCACCATAGTTTTAACTGTATTTTCTGTGTATATTATGTATGTGGAAAATGTGTTCCATGTAAAGATATATGTATATATCACCATATTACCATGTTATACATATATACAGTTGTATATATAACCATCGCATATATATATATATGTGTAGATATAGATAGATATATGAATTATTCATGGTTATATATTGAACATTTAAGATACTTTAAGATCAATCCCCTTCCTCCGCAACAGTCATGCGGTTTAAATACCTACAAATGGTGCTACAATTCCTTTTAGGAGAAAATCTGGCTTTGACGATGATTCATGTGGCAAACCCAATGCCAAAAACCATTGGACTATTGAAAATCTGAACAGCTGGTAAAGTTAAGGGTGGATAGGGATGATTTAAAAGCCCTGAGTGCATATACAAGTCTATAATCTGTCTAGTAATCCCATCCACCTGGTATGAAATTACCCCCCATTTGGGGGACCCCAAAATGAATATAGATCCACTTCTGAAGCGGCGTTTGCAGGGGGAGATCAAAGTGAGGTCATTATAATTCATCCAGATCATTAAACGTGATATTCCCGTTATGTCGTCCAGATCATTATCCATTCTATTCCCACTATATGCCCATTATACAACCACATTTCATGGATAAATCAGTTAAACCCATTGTGCTGTACAACCAATTCTTCTGTTGCCTGCGTGCTGGCTACTGTTAGACACATCCCTTCCTGTTTGTTGACGGTTTTGTCGCCGCCTGCTTGCTTGGTTGCAAGGGGACGCAACCAGGCATTTTCACTTACCCTTCAGTCCTCAAAGGTGGCAAGCTGGTAAACCTCCGAACTACCCTCGGGTAAACATACAAAAAACTATGGAAAATGACCATTTTCAATGGGTAAATCCACTATAAATGACGATGATATCGATGATTTTCCCAGCGGACCAGACCTCCATGGTTCGTTCGGGTATTTTCCAGCCATTTTCCGGTCTAAACCCAATGAGTCTGCCATCCCCGGACCCACAACTCCTGCTTGTCATCTTCCGCCACCACGGCGCGTGCATTTCTCGATTGCTGATCCAGAAAAATGCTCAGTTGAAACTGCTGAGGCAACCTTGGTCCAGCCACTGGCCACGTGCTCTGCCCATCTGCAGCTCCGGCAACAGAATGCAGATGCAACTTGAAGGAATGAAAGTATGGTGTAGGATGTGTAGGAATACTGAAAGTTCTCAAAATCATCGTGATATGTCGTGATACATCGTGATGGTTCCTGCCGTGATATGTCGGGTGTCACGTATTTCAACTGATCTATTCCAGCTCAAGTTTCTCAACATGGCAATGTCCAAAGTCAGCAAAGTTGGAACATGGTCGCTTGCATTTCATGTTGGTTCTTAAATTCGCCAAGTTTGCCCTCTGGTAAACTAACATAACTATGGAAAATCACCATTTGTAATGGGAAAATCCACTACAAATGGCAATTTTCAATAGCTATGTTTGTTTACCGGAGGGTATCCATTTGGCAGGGTTCAACATAACAACTTGCCATGTTTGCTGCGTGATGAATGTCCAATTTGTTGGCGGATTTTCTCATTGTACACCCCCACCTTTACCAAATTTAAATTCCCCGTACTAAGCCAGCCCAATGATTTTTACCCGTCAACGCTTTTAGCCCCTCTGTCAATTTTAGAATGCATCATAATGCATCCAAATGTGGTAAACCAGGAATAGTCTATGTATGCAAGTTGACTTCATTGGGTCTGATTTTTAGTAGGATGTCGATTTATGTTCCTATTCTATGTATTACATATTCTATATATATAAATATCCTATTACATACTAGTGTGTATATATATATATTATATTTACATATATTTACTGTATTATATTAAAAGATATATATATATATATCATATATATATATATCATATATATGTATATCATATATATATATATCATAATAATATATATATATTGCATATTCCTTTGCCACATCTCCAGCCCGAAAGCTCCAGCCCCTTCTCGTGGCGGCACGTCAGCTCCACCCCTTGGATGCACTTGGCGGCACGGCGCAGCGCCGCGTCCAGGCGCTGATGGAGGAAACGGAAGAGCTTTCGCTCGCGCGGGCGCTTGGCGCCGAACCAAAAGCCCTGGAGACCTTGGGGCTACGGGACGGGACGGGACGGGACCGTGGAGGCCTTGTGAAGGTAACTACTTGGTGGCGAACTACCCACGAATCGTAAGTGGGTTAGTTCACCCCAATTATAAGTGGATTAACCCTACAAAAATCCCATTTATAACTGGGGTTATAACCCACTTACTAAGTGGGATGAGCCACCAAGTAATTCGTAAGTGGATGATCATTCTTATCATTCGGAGATGTTGTGGGTTTTTTGTTAGTTAACTTATATAGATTCATGGTTAGTTAGTTGTAGGTTAAGTTAAGTTAGTTGGATAGTTAAGTTAAGTTAGTTTCCTGGTAATTTAACATAGCTATGGAAAATCACCATTTTTAATGGGAAAATCCACTATAAATGGCCATTTTCAATAGCCATGTTAAATTACCAGAGGGTACCTCCTGGTTAGTTAGTAAATTATTGTTGGGTGGTGGGTCAAATCACCACGACTGTCCCCAGGAATCGCCAATCCCGTGGCTCAGTCTAAGTCATCTAAGTATGTGCAGGGACCAGGGATCGATTTTTCTAGATACTAACCATACCCAGAGGATCCATGTATGGAATATTTACCTACATTGACCCCTAAAGTAATTTTCCAAATAATCCCAATGTAGGTAAATATTCCATACATGGATCCTATGGGATATGAAATACCCCAGTCATATATCCGGGTAAATTATAATACTTCACTAACCTGAATAGTTCGGCCATTTGGGGATGATTGCCCTTATTAAGCATGATTCCCAGTGAGGGAGAACAGTGAGGTCGCTATAATTTACCCAGATATATAGATTCATGGGTTACCCTCTGGTAAACATACAAAAAACTATGGAAAATCACCATTTCAATGGGAAAATCCACTATTTCTATGGCAATGTTCAATAGCTTTTTGTATGTTTACCAGGCCGGGTATTGGGCTAGATCAAGTTTATTAGGGCCAGTCTGACGATGCCTGGCACATCCAAGTGGGCATTTGGGATGATATGCGGAGTTTAATTAACAATAAAAAATGATGAGGCCCGAATGATGAACAATAGATACAATCTTTTCACATTGCCAATCTTAGATACCCTGCAAAAAAATAAAATTCTTTGCTGGTTTGTAGATCTGCCAGGGTCTATGTTAATTTACTGGAGGGTACAATCTTTTCAGAAATGATTGACAAAAATTGATAATGATAGTGATTGATCATGATAGATCATGATTGATCACGATCTATATTAACGGTGGTGTTGTATGGTCTGTGCTGATGCTTGATAATGACAAAGATTGTACTGATTTGGAAGGATTGATATTCGCAATGTTTTGCCACAATTGGCAATATATAAGATTGACATGTAGGAATGGCATTAGCCATGATAATTTAGATATTGCTATATATATACATAAATATATTTATATATGTATACATATACCTGGATTATAGGTTGTAATGGTGTTGTATGGTCTTATAACTTATAATGTGCGATTGTAATCATTAACGATTGTAGCCATCCATCCAAATCCACGTTTTTTCAAGCCTCGTGATCAGTGATACACACATAAATAGTTCTTAAAATTACCATCTGGTTATTTAACATAGCTATGGAAAATCCCTTATAAATGGAGGTTTTAATTGGAAAATCATCCATAAATGGGCCATGGCTTCCATGGCTATGTTAAATAACCAGAGGGTAACATCATTATCAGTATGACTACCATTCTTAACATAGACCCAGACCTGACTCTGGGTTGGAAGACTACTTTCGACTCAAAATGGGCAATTCTCGGGGTCCTACATCAGTTTCGGACCAGGACACAACTGGTTTCCATTCGAAGACCTTTGTAAAAACAAATGTTACCCTCTGGTGAACTAACATAACTATGGAAAATCACCATTTTCAATGGGTAAATCCACTATAAATGGTCATTTTCAATAGCTATTTTGACATAACCAGAGGGTATATATGGGTCCCCAATCTTGAACTAAATGAGCAAAAAAACAGAGAAATAAACCAAAAAGGGTGGGGCCCCCGTTAGATAGCGTTCAGTTGGTTCATGTTGGTGGCTGAATTCAATGGTTTATGGTAGATATAACTATAGACTATAGTTAATGGGGATTATAATGGTTTATAAACCAACTTATAACTGGGGGGCCCCATCCTGTATAATAATTATATACCAGTCGGGCAAAACGTTCACATTTTGGAGAGGTCACCACGATTTTTTTGTGCGAAAGATGTAAAAACACGTCGCGTGAGAAAAATCCACTGGAAGCCTTCCAGCCCGGATTTCACAGGCCACTTTCCATCCAAGGTATCCCAAGGTGCTATTTGGCTGCTCCTGGTTAGGAAACCAGAGCTTGTGAAACTCCTGGCTGTCCATGAAAAACCCGGACGCCACAGTGGCCAAAACATGCCAAAACGGAGACACCAGGGGTTCGCCATCATGGCCAGGGTGGTTTTAAAGGAGATTTATTGGTAGTAAGTGGGGGGTTAACCGCTAACGATTAACCATGAAACTTGGGATTCAACAATTGAATAAGGGTGTGAAATAGTTTTAGGAATTTTTTTTTGAGCAGGTTTGGGATTTTTTTTTGGATTTCTTGGCTGGTACCATTTGCCTAGTGTTTGCAACGGTTTGGAACTTGAATTTGTCATTTTCCATGGTATTTGCCACATTTGGGCATGTTCACCTTCCATTTTGCATGGGATTTACTACATGTGGGCATGTTCACCTTCCATTTTGTATGGTATTTGCCACATTTGGCATGTTCACCTTCCATTTTGCATGGGATTTCCTACATGTGGGCATGTTCACCTTCCATTTTGTATGGTATTTGCCACATTTTGGCATGTTCACCTTCCATTTTGCATGGGATGTTCTACATGTGAGCATGTTCACCCAAATATTTACAGATGCGGAAGTTTGGGATTAGATAAAAAGCGGGTGGGGGGGATTGAGGGAGGGCGCTAGCTATCTATCCAGCTAGCTAGCTATCTAGCTATCTAGCTAGCTATCTATCTAGCAAGCTAGCTATCTATCTAGCAAGCTATCTATCTATCTAGCTATCTATCTACCTATCTAGCTAGCTATCTTGCTAGCTATCTATCTACCTACCTAGCTATCTAGCTAACTATCTATCTAGCTATCTAGCTATCTAGCTTTCTATCTATCTAGCTATCTATCTATCTAGCCATCCAGCTGTCTATCCAGCTATCTAGCTATCTATCTATCTAGCCATCCAGCTGTCTATCCAGCTATCTAGCTATCGAGCTATCTATCTAGCTATCTATCTATCTAGCTAACTGTCTACCTATCTCCTCTCGCTTATTAAGCATCTACGCTTTCTATCTATCTAGCTATTATCCTCTAGCATCCAGCTGGTCTATCCAGTATCTAGTGATTCTATCTAGCATCTATCTATCTAGTAACCGGATCTACCTACTTTTAGCATTATCATATTAGCTATCTATATAGCTACCTCTTTATCATAGAGCTAATCTATCTATCTAGCTATCATCTAGACATCATTATCTAGTATCTATCTAGCCACATTCCTACTAAGAGGTACTAAGTACTATCTGCTATAGCTAGCTATCTATCTATCTAGCTATCTATCGAGCCATCTATCCTTTCTAGCTATCTATCTATCGAGGTATCTAGCTATCTATCTCTCTCTCTATCTATCTATCTATCTATCTATCACATGTAATCCTGTCAGCTTTCCAGAGAAGGTTAGTTCGCAAAAACCAACTAATGTAACTTGGGTTTAAGTTTAAATAAAAAAAAGCGGGAGGGGGGGATTGGGGGGAGGGCGCAGCGCCTCCCCCAAAGCAGAATGCAAGCACCTCTTCTCACATGTTACGTTGCTAGTTTTCAAGAGAAGGTTGGTCATGTGATACTCAGGGATGTAAATACTGTGCAAAATGTATCTTACATGAAAATCAAGTATTTAAAG